CGCTCTAAGGAGCTAAGGGCCCTCGCCGATATATCGGTACCGTCTAGTGAATCCCCTATGCAACATCACCCAAGGATTCCCAACGAAGCAAAGTCGCTGACGGAAGCATTGGGAGCAAGGTGTTCGACGTCTGATCAAAGTGAGACATACAACGAAATTGGTCTACACACGAATATCCTTTGCATGAAACACTCCTAGGGGCTTGCCTTGCAAGTCTTCTTGTAAGTATAAGTTGTTTCCTACTCGACGCACTGGCTTCGGACTCGCTGTCTAATAAGGTGTATTTTGTCTGCTGGGTGCAAATGCTAAACCTCATGATCACCCAGAGACCCCAACCTACGAGCTAATTTGTAGCTTGCCCCGTTTAGGAACATGTGATGTTCGCTCGGTCACTACGTCTTTTCCTAGACCCACTTGTTTGCGGAAGTTCGGTGCCTTGATTTCCTTGCATGTCGTGCACTGCCTTATGGTAAAATCGTAGCCGTGGCGTCTATGCTATCCTCTCGTCTCACAGCTTCAATGACCTGGCGCCTCGTAATCCTGCGTCTGCGGAAGCGCGCACAAGCCTTCACCACTCGTCGGGTGGCCAGCGTCATCGCATCCAGCTGTCGCTCACCAACAATACTATTTCAGGCCGACATGTATGCCCGAAGACGTTCTTCATATGGTAAGCTCCTTAATGTTCTTCCTTTAGTCTTATTCTGATCCTTATGGTCTATATTCGTCTCCTTTTCAACTACTATTGGCTTTGGTAGGTGTTCTTCTCCTGCCTTTCCGCGGTTGCCATCCCCGAACGCGTCTGTCCCGCCATCATCACGCTCCATCTGCGGTCAATTTTCGCACTGTGAGCAGAATGTGTCCGGCTTTCCTCATCAATAGCAGAATATCTTCCGCTCTTTAGACAGGCAGTCTCTAAAGACGTGGTTGATCTGCCTACAGTTCCAGCATACTTGCCGGGAAGACGTCCAGCCTCGCACGAAGGCCTCCTCCAGTGCTCTAGACGGCGCTTCCGCACGATGTGGTGATACTTTAACCCCGTGAACTGTCGACTTTACTCCTTGCGAGTATCGCGACGGCTGCACGTCTCCACTTCTATGCACTGTTGGCGCAGCTCATCCACGGTGAGTACATCCATAGCATATATGTATTTTGACAGACTCCCCTTCAAACCACGCTTTATAATTTTCACCAGTTCACGGTCTCTTAGCGGCTTCTGGAATCGCACGGCGAGTTGGCGCATGTGATGGGTGTAATCGTCCACCCCTTCGATGGTCTGTTGCTCTGGTTGTAGAAGGTCTTGCATCACATCATGCTCCGTCTAATAGCCCCGGAGCCTGTCTAAGAGAGCGTGCCGCAGTTGCATCCAGCTGTCGACCCGAGAATGCAGCAAGTGCATCCAATACCACTTGCGGGCACGGCCGGTCAGGAGCAGGTTAAAGCCGCGCAGGAGCTCCTTCCACAGGCATTGATATTGCCTCTGCAGGAACTCCAGCTGAAACACGAAGTCCTCGACAGAATTCATGGCGTCCTCGCTATCGAACTTGAAGTTCCACCGCCCGAGCTTCAGGTTCGCTGCTTCTCGTACGTTGGCATACGCTTCCTCCGGCTGAAAGCCATCCGCTCTCCGGACCTCTACTCGGAAGTGGCGATTATTCGGATTACGCCAGTTTCTCGCCTGAGCATCCGCGACGTACACTGGGTGGATGAGTACTCCGCTCCTCGCGCACCTGGTCTGTGAGACTTAAGTGGAAGCGATGGTGGAAATGCCTCGCGCTGGATCCCTTCTCGCTCATTCGGGATGGCGGCTGTTCGTGGCACATCAATGATGCCCTTCATCATCTCCATGAATCCTGTTCGCATCTCCTCGCGGATGGACTCGCTGATGCCAGATGGCAGATTGCATGTAGATATGACTGGTGGGCCGATGTGAGTACTGAGTCTTTCGTCGCTTTTTCGAACTCCAGGTTCCGTGGAGGTCTATCTTGTTGCGCCAATTCCATCTCTAAGTCTACCAGATGACCCTCCGCCGGGATCTGCCTCTCAGGAAATCCCCGGAAATTCATTGGCGTTCTCACCAGATCTCCTGCCGGATGTGGCGGTGGCAGTGCCGACGCTCCGTCAGCGTCAGAATCCCAGTCCGACACCTGTTCTTCAGCCATACTAAACCCTTAAGAAAGCTGTACCCCTCTTTACTATAAGGCTTACAAACCCTAATACAAAAAAAAAACTTAACCAATATTTCCTATTAAATAAATTAATAAATAAACATCTACCAACAAATCTTACTAATATTGAATATATAAACATCGACCACAAAACTAACTCACAAAAAAAACTTTTTTATCTTTTCTCAATCAATTTCATATACTTTGGGGGGAGAGTAGACAAATCCTAACATCAGGCTAACTCTGTATACGCATAATCTGGACTGTGGACAACATTTAATCATTCGTCAAATGCTCAGGTCGTCAGTTTTACTGACGAACGGCTTCTGTCGCAATTCTGAAAACCTCTGGGACATGCTGTGTGACAGGTGCGGCGCAGGATCGAATCTATATTGTCCTGGGTCACTTGTCTCCGAAGCTCATTTAACTACGGCCAGCACATTCCGAACATAAACACAGATTGGGACAAAGCAAATAGTAAACATTAAACAAACAAAACCTAAATATCACATCATATCACAAGATGCCTTTGTCATTGCGGCTACCACCAGGCCACGATGAACGGTTGCGAACGCTTCGCCAACATGCGAACGTGACTTACCACCATCAACCACGAAAAGAAAAACTTTTTTTGCTCAGTAATATTCTAACAATCTCTGCCTTCGTCGTGCTTCTCGGATTCCACTACACGCTGCGAGATTATGAGCCGCATACTCGTGCCACATAACACATCAGGTGTGGATCCTAAAGCCAAGGGAAACTTTTCCTTGTACCTGCATTGATATTTTCATTTCCTTTTTTTTTATTTCTGCCCCCGACGCCCCCGACTCCAAAGAAGCCGGAACAAATTTAAAAATCTTAATTGAGCGATTGGCTCCCCCATAAAAAATGGTATTTAGTAAAAATTCGTATACATAAAATATTTATATGAATTAAATCGGTAAATGACTCTTATCCTACCTAAGGGCGACGTAAGTAAATGATTATCTTTTTAAAAAGTACACATACGTACGGATGGTGTGGAATCGAAAACTAAACTTTTCCTTTTCAGATTCCCCTGGCATGGTCCGTAACCTTTGGGTCGTCTCTCTCGACGCAACCTCGGCAATGTATGTATTCGCTTTTTTTCTTTTAAGCTAAATTTTAGATTACACAAAAGGCACAAAAAAAACAGTTTTGCGGCTGGCATTCTTTCTCGGTCACCGAATAGTTAATCTCGAGCTTGTTGAATTTAGCCGACAAGAATGCGATCGGCCTTTCATGCTGTTCGTCGCCCAGCTAGAACAACACGGCTCCTACTCCGTAGTGAGATGCATCACATTGAATAAAGAAGGGTCTTTTTAAATCCGCGTGCACTAACACCGGGCTATGGTGAAGGCTAGCTTCAAGGTTTCCACGGCATCAATGGCTTCGTCACTCAACGAAAATTTACCCATCCTTTTCTTTAAGGCATCAGTCAACGGTACTGAGATCTCGGCGAAGTTCTTTATGAAGCAGCGATACCACCCCGGCGTACCTAGGAAGCTCCGCAGTTCCTTGAACGTCCTCGGGTTCGGGATGTTCCGGACCGCCTTCACTCTTCCCGGATCCATGCGCAATGTCTCGCCGCCTATGATGAATCCCAAATAGTTTAGATTGCGGAAACAGAATTTCGACTTCGCCATGCCTATGGTGAGGTTCGCGTTCTTCAGACACACGGCAGCCAATCCCAGGTATTTCAGATGCGTCTGAAAATCTGCCGATATTATGAGTGAGTCGTCCGGGAATACGAACATGTTTGACCTCAGACTCGTCGGGATCACCTTGTCCATGAGCCTGCCTTGTTGTTGAGCGGCGTTCCAGAGGCATGGCATGTGGCGGAGCTGGTACAGTGGCCTCCCTGGTGCAGTAAACGCAGTCGCCCTGCTGTTCTCCTTCATCTCGAATTGCAAAAACGCGATCTTATGGTCGACGCTTAAGATAAAATGAGTCTCGTCAATGCGCGACAAGATGCCCTCGATGCATGGGAGCGGGTAAGCGTCCTTTACCTTCACGCTATTAAGTTTCCTGGCGTCTAAGCAAAACCTGTTCTTCCCCAGCCTCATCACTTCCGTCCGTCGGTTACTCCAGGGGCTGTCACTCTCCTCGATGATGCCTAATTTTAGCATTTTATCTACCGGTGAGTACATCCATAGCATATATGTATTTTGACAGACTCCCCTTCAAACCACGCTTTATAATTTTCACCAGTTCACGGTCTCTTAGCGGCTTCTGGAATCGCACGGCGAGTTGGCGCATGTGATGGGTGTAATCGTCCACCCCTTCGATGGTCTGTTGCTCTGGTTGTAGAAGGTCTTGCATCACATCATGCTCCGTCTAATAGCCCCGGAGCCTGTCTAAGAGAGCGTGCCGCAGTTGCATCCAGCTGTCGACCCGAGAATGCAGCAAGTGCATCCAATACCACTTGCGGGCACGGCCGGTCAGGAGCAGGTTAAAGCCGCGCAGGAGCTCCTTCCACAGGCATTGATATTGCCTCTGCAGGAACTCCAGCTGAAACACGAAGTCCTCGACAGAATTCATGGCGTCCTCGCTATCGAACTTGAAGTTCCACCGCCCGAGCTTCAGGTTCGCTGCTTCTCGTACGTTGGCATACGCTTCCTCCGGCTGAAAGCCATCCGCTCTCCGGACCTCTACTCGGAAGTGGCGATTATTCGGATTACGCCAGTTTCTCGCCTGAGCATCCGCGACGTACACTGGGTGGATGAGTACTCCGCTCCTCGCGCACCTGGTCTGTGAGACTTAAGTGGAAGCGATGGTGGAAATGCCTCGCGCTGGATCCCTTCTCGCTCATTCGGGATGGCGGCTGTTCGTGGTCCCGGCACGACGTGTCTCGGCGGCATCGGCACAGTGTTAGGCTCTCCGGCGTGGTTCCCTGGCGGCCTAAGCACATCAATGATGCCCTTCATCATCTCCATGAATCCTGTTCGCATCTCCTCGCGGATGGACTCGCTGATGCCAGATGGCAGATTGCATGTAGATATGACTGGTGGGCCGATGTGAGTACTGAGTCTTTCGTCGCTTTTTGGAACTCCAGGTTCCGTGGAGGTCTATCTTGTTGCACCAATTCCATCTCTACTCTCTACTCGTCACCTTTATTATGGCCACTAGATGGCCTGCTTTAGCCCGTGTCGGCTGTTATGCCCACTCTCCCCATCAATTTAAACTTAGCCGGACATTCTTTTCCTTCAATTTGGGCGTATAATTGGTTGCGTGTTCTTAAAATTAATAACTATTAATATCATTTCTTACTGCATTTATCTTTGCAGCCACTTACAGCCTCAATCAAGCGGACATTTCCATTTTATAATTCTTATAATATAATTAATATTACTTCTATTGCAGGTATCTCCGCAAGCTTTCTTCACGATGCTATTTACGTTCTCATGCAAGTAGACATTTCTTCACCAGGTGCGTATAATTGTTGCATATACTTATGATTATGGACAATGTGTATTAATTTAAAAAAAATGCCGTTCCTTTCTAGCCGAACAACACAAAGATAGGACGTCACCGAAAGCTATGGCCAATTGCCGCCGGAAACAACGTTGGAGAACAAATTTATAAACCTTACTTAATTAATCCCAATAAATGACATTAATTAGTTTAATTTAATTTAATTAAAATTATATATTATTTTACAGTCATTCTAATTGTATGGCCGGTACAAAGATGGGCAACAGAGTGTTAATCTCGAAATGCATGTGCAAATCTTAGCGCAGCGCAACCAGAGTGTTAATCTCGAAATGCATGTGCAAATCTTAGCGCAGCGCAACCAGCTGATTAGTCAATACAAATATACATGTGTATGTATGAACATATCTTTGATTCTTTTAAAAGTCTTTTTATTTTACGTTATGTTGCTTTTGTTGCATCTACTTATTATTTGAGCGGTGTGTAGTAAGAATAAAATGTGATAAGCATTCACCAGACTGACACGGGCCATAAATTATTGATCTGAGCTGAAGAGTAATGTAAACCAGAAGGTCATAAAACGATGTCAGTTTGGCTGTGCTTTTTTTTCAGTGGCTGTGTTTATTAATAATAGTTTTCTTTAATATTCTGTGGGTATTAAATTATTTTGATTACTTATTATGGCACAGTATTCAAAATCCTTAAAAACAATATATTAAATAAAAAAATTCACAAATTATTTTGGACTCTACCCCAACAACAACGGGAGAAATACTTGTATTAGAATTTACTCTTTTTTTTCTCTCTCTATATAGAAATATATACTTTCTTTTTCACTGCACTTGCACTATGTAGTTAGAGGGTTTAAATAATGCACTTCAGCAAATTTTCGGGGGTCTGAAGTTAACACACATTGACTGCGCGTCAATGGAGCACCAAAAGCTACTCTGTCTGCCGGATTTCGGAATGTGGAAGCGGCGCCTGCCCTTGCTTGCTGGCGTGAGTAAAAGAATGGCAGCTGATCCACAGTTAAAGCAGACGTCTATTCAGTAGGGGGCAGAAATTACAGAGCCGTCCCCTCCAATTGCCACACGTAGCGTTTGTCTTGAAAAATAATTTGCACTCAGATGCGGAGGAGGCAGGATTGATTGCGTCCAAATTGAATTTTTCACGCAGACCAGAACTGTTAGAGCTGCGACCAGAGCTCGACACAAAAATGTATATGCCGGTCAAATAATTTATATCCGGGCCCTACAGGGCTTATATAGGGTCTCAGAGCTTTTCCTTTCGCGGATTAAATTGAAGATAGCTGCGCTGCCAAAGAGCACACAGGCACTTTGTCGCAGCGGCAGAAACTGTCGCAGCTGACAGGGACAGACAAAAGCTGATCGTTATACGACCGATAATATCCTTGGCAGGAAAAGTGTCAATTTCGTTTCCTTGATGATAAAATTGTGTGAGAATTTACTAAGCGCGAAATTTCGACAGAACACCTCCTGTCTTTCACGAAAATAAACAGGCTGGCATCGTAAATTATATTAAGCCGCATTGCGCTCATAGGCTGTTCTGGTGTTTGTTTGCATATCTGTTCTTAGCAATGCCAAATTGTCAGACCGCAACAGGTGGACCAGCGTTTCTTCCAATAAGGACAACTTCTTCAATAGTTTGTAATCGGTACCATGAGTGATCATATCCACCTCGAATACAGCACGATATAGAGAACACCCGATCGATTGGTGCATAGCAGACCTTAAGGAACATGAAATCCCTGTAATATGTTGATCCCAATGGGTATTATCCCGTTTTATTTTAACTTGTTCTGCAGCATTGCTTTGCGGTGAATATATGGCTGTAAACAAATGCTCAACGCCGACTTCGGCTAAGAAAGCATTGAACTGAGGAGCCTTCAACTGGATGCCGTCAAAGACTATACAAACACTAAGATGAGTAACGCCCATACATTTGAATGCGACGCAAAATTTCTGGCCCTTGACAAAATGCTAGCCGACGGCTGTTCGTTTAGACGAACGATTGCCGAAGTCGCGGCTTGCTGATGCTGACACGAGCAACGAAGTTAGTCGCCAGCCTGCCTTCAGCAAAGCTGGTCGATGGTACTTTGCGTCAATTCGTTTTCGAAGTACATTGAGCGAAAAAGTTTTAAACTTACGATCGACGCATAGTACTTTTGCTCGATTTTCCTTTTGTTTTTGGACAGTGTATGCTCGAGAGTAGTTCTTGTCTCAGGCAATGGCGTGCAAGCTATGCTTGTATGTGTGAATTATGCATGCATAGCTACATCAAAATATGTACATATATGTGTTGTTATTCACTGCTCTAGCTTTGGCTGGCAAAGAAATAAATTTTGTTAGTTTTCTAGCGCTGATCATGCACGATCTAACCCAAATTTGTATTCTCATATGAATGCATGTTTTTAAAGTCGATGCAAATATTTATATAATTTATATAATTAACTTATTAATTAAATTATTATTATTTTTATCAATTTTTTTTTGTTTAAATTATTTTTTTTCTTCCGCCTTACCCTATTTGTATTTTTTGGCACTCTTTTATTTGTTATTAAAATAAAAATAATAATAAACAATTGATCATTTATTTTAAAGACATTATTTAAATATTTGCATCGAATTTAAAAAACTTTTTTTTTGAGAGCGCAATGATACTGATTTCGTTTTCGTTCTCAATTTTCAAAACAGCAAGCTGCATAGTAGCATTTTGTTGTATGGCGTTACTCATTTCAGTGTTTATATTGTCTTTGGTGCCATTGTCACTTATTATAGATTGTGGCACACCCAAACAAAGAAATATTTGTTCTAGAAGAAATTTTTGTATCACAGCTGAGGTGAATTTCTTCAGGGGCTGCAACCAATGATACTTGCTAAAGTGATCTAAGACTTTTAACAATCCCACATGACCGGTTCTCGGGTATGTTAAGCTTTTGAAATGGTCTACAAGTTGGGATGTGAGCACCCATAGGTGTCTGAAGGGCATAATTTGGAGCCTTAGTTTCTTTACATATCTCGCAATTTCGATTATATTCACGTACATCTTTAGCTAATTCTGCGGATTTCTGCGGACGGCCTAATTTTTTTGACATAAAAGCTATCGTTTGTTCTTCATTATCTTCAGTCATCTTTACTAAATCGGGGCCAATGCCAAAATCACAAGCGTCACAATGTAAGACTTTTTTTTCTTAAAATCAGCATTTTTCAAAACAGGCGAGGATGTTAGCACTGCTTTTAAGTCGTCCATTGCGGTCTGTCCTTCATGAGTCCACGCAAACTTTTTTTTGTCGATAATACGTCCGTTATGGGGCAGGTGAGATCGGAGAAGTTGCATATAAGTCGACGATACGAACCGCAAACGTCTAGAAATCCTCGAACTTGCTTCAAGTTTTTTGGCTGCGGACAATCTACGATGCAGGCTACTTTGTCAGGATATGTGCAAATACCACTGCTACCGATCACGTAACCAAGATAATTGATACTCATTACACAATAAAGATAATTGATACTTATTACACAAAATTGACTTTTGAAAATATTTAATGTCTAGTTGGATTTTAAAAAATGCTCAGCGATACGAACCAATACCGCCAGATTCGAACTCAAATCCTCTGAAACAATACAAAGGTCATCTAAACAACCAAATACGCAATAACGCAGGTCAGGTGGAATTCTCTCGTCCATTAACCGACACATGGTAGAAGGTGCGTTACAAAGGACAAGGGGCATGACCTTAAACTGATATAGCGATGTTCCGGGGACCGTGAAAGCAGTGAGAGGCTTTGAATGCTCGGAATGTTCAATCTTCCAATAGGCGTCTTTCAGTGTCGTGAGAAAATGCCATCGATGCTCGGCAAAGGATAAGCATCTTTTTTAGTAGCGTCATTTAGTCTTCGAGCATCCAGTCAAAGGCGAACCTTGTAGGGCTTACCGTCGCTTACCGACGGCTCAATAACTCCAAGCTGCAACATGCGATCAATTTCTGCATATTGCTATTTTGCTACTGCCGGACTTACAGGGTAAAATCTTTGTTTCACTGGGCATGCGTCTCCTATATCTTTATGATGTTGAATTAATGTTGTGCGACCTAATCTATCAGAAGCGTTGGGGAACAACTGCTTTACTACGTGCAGCTGTTGCGTTTGCTGGCTATTTAAGGGGTATGCATTCGACTCTGTTTCTTGCTCTTTTCCAATTGATTTTATTACTACTGAATTTATGATGCTTGGCGCAAGCGCAAAGGCTCTCGAAAAATCATGTCCTAAAATTAGATTATGGTTTATAGACGGAATCACACACAGTTTCAAGGGCTTGGTAGCCGATTTATACTGCATAATAACTTCAAGCACCCCGATGAGGTTCTGACTATGCCCATCTGCTGTTCTAACATGCGATTTAATAGGCTTAAATTCCGGCATCGCCTGCGTCCAAAAGACCAAACTCGGTAAAAGTTATAAACGGCATAGCAGCGCATATCCGTGGGATTGCAAAAAACTGTCGATAAGTTTGCTTTGTTGCTTTATTTTTGCATAGTTATTTTTCAAGCGTTGCGTACGCTTAGAAATGGTGGGTTTTGCTTCACTAAATATCTTATTTCGAACTTTCAAACAAGTAGCTAACCGTTCAAGATACGGTATTTAGATTAAGCTATTTCTATATTTTTGGTGTGTGCCTGTAAAGTCTGTGTAGGGACCAAACTTTTCCTTTGGTCTTCAGGGACTAAGTAAGTATGGCAATTAGCTACATTTTTGGGAGCATCCAACTGTTGTGGATGCACCCTTCTGTCGGTTTTCCGAAGCTTAACGGATACAGCTTTGGCACTGGGGCTTATAAATATTGGGTTCACCGCATTCATAACAAAAGGTACGACGGTCAGCAAGGCAATTTTCCCACCTGTGCCCTTGCTCTTCGCAGATCCAACATTTAAGTTTGGCATGACTAAGAACTGATGCAAT